TTCTTATTTCAAATTTATTATTTGTGTGTGCATGCATATATGTGCATGGGCGCGCTCATGCTAGTGTGCATGTGTGTACACACACACACACACACACACACACGCGCGCGCGCGCGCGTGCCTTTCTCTTTTTGGCCTCTAATTCATAGCACTTCTCCTGCCTCAATTTCCCACATGCTGGGATTAGAGGTGCATACCATCATACCTAGCTTTAGCTATACACTTAAGAATGGGCAGTAGGACAGTTTGCCATGGTTTCCTATTACAAATACAATCCGACTCACTTTATGCACACATGTCTCTTTATTTGTGAGTGTGACTCTTTGGGATGATGACTTGGGTTGCTGTGTAATTGAGTATGTGGCCTGTGAGGCATTGCAAGTGCCCTTCCTTTCGGGGTTGTATGTCTTTGCCCTCCTGACACTGACTCTACAGACTGGCCTGACCTCACTCTAGAGCCCTGAACTGAATTTCTTTGAACCCGGCCAGAGTCCCAGACATGTCTAGCAGTAAGCACACTGCCTCAAATGCCTGTGCCCACCCTAAGTGATGGCAGGAAGGCAGGCAGAAGGTGGCCTTGCTGATAGCATGCCAGTTCATTTTCCCAAACTGTTGGGATTTGCGTTTGACACTTGCTCAGCCAGGAGAAAAGAGCTGAAGTTACACTTTGGCCTGAGAGAAGGCAGCATGAGAACGGTGACAGGGAGGCAGGGACCCAATTCCTCGGTGCCTACGTCCTTGTCCCCTTTTCTCCCCAGGCCACACCGACCAGCAGACACTTTTCTGACCAGAAGTCCTTGGCTCTGACTAACTAGTTCCTTCTTGGTTTCTCTCTTCCACTACGTTTACCACGTGGGCTGACGGGGGAGGCAGAAGAGAGACCTTGTCATTTCTGCTGGAACATGTGCGAAGAAAATAAGTCAGTGGAACAAGAGCGGCTCATCCTAGGAAGGGAGAAGACAAACAGATTCCGGAGAGGAAGCAGAGTATAAAACACTCTACACAGCTCTCTTAGACTCTAGCCCGGGGGCACACTTACTTCTATGACCTACAGAAAAGGGGAAACAATACGGTCATTATGGAAAACATTAGGCAGGTTCATCAAAATATTTTTAAAAAAATAGAGCTGGGGTATCCAGTGGCTGAGCACTTGCCTGGCATGCAAGAGGTTCCAGGTTCGAGTCCCAGCACTACACAAACAAACAGAATTAAAAAACAAACGTGCCATATGATCCAGCAATCCCATTACTGGGTATATATGTAGAAGAAAAAAGTCATAATAGAGACATCTGCCATTTGTGTCTATGGCAGCAGCACTATTCAAAATAGCCAAAGCGTCCAGCAGCTGAGGGACTGGCAAAGGAAACGTATCAACCGCGAGAAGAAAGGCAACCTGACGTTTGCAACAACATGGAAGGAGCTGGAGGGCATTATGTTAAGCAAAACTAGCCTCACACAGTAAGACAAATAGCAGATGACCTCATGTGGAATCTGGAAACGATGATTTTACAAAGCCGAGAGTGGAATGTCGGTTGCCAAGCTGGGGAGGAGGGATGGAGATAGGATGATGGACACCACCTAGCTGGAGTTGGAAAGGAGTAATAAGTTCTGTTGTTCTATGATATGACTGGAGAGAATGATAGCATGCTGTGCACTCTAAACAATCTGCCTGAAAACACCTTTGGATTGTTTTTAACCACAAGGAAATGATAAATGTTTGAGATTTGAATTGAACGTTATATAGTATGCACATATATCAAAACATGGCATCTATAAATACGTACTCTGCGCCAATTTAAAAGAGTATATTTTCCATTTTTCAGAGAGAAAGGAGTGGAGAAATGCTGTTAGCCCAGTTAGACTGCATTTAGAGGGTGCCTGCCCCACCCCATCTTCCTGACCCCTCCCTCCCTCCTGACAATAGGGAGAGAAGGAATCAATGCCCTCCTAGGAGCAGGCAGCAGGCTTGGTGGGCAGTGTGTCTGAGGAGTCACCTGTAGGGAAGGCACACAGATGGCCTGGCAAATATCCCTCCAAGGAAGGGCAGGCTCAGGGTGGGGCATTTACCTGTAAAGTAACATCAAATACGCTTCTTAGGATTCTAGGCACCCCAAATAAACATATTCCTCATCTCCTTCAGAAGTTCGGTGGGTGCTGGTCCAGAGGCCCAGAGCACTGAATAAAGAGCGAAGGGCCAGTGGTACTGAGAGAAGTCAACTCAATAGTCTCAGGGGGCAGTTGGAACTGCTGTTGGGTGCTGGCAGAGCAGCCCCCCTTCCTCTCCAGATCTTATGGAGAGTGACGGGATGTAAGGCTGTCTGATATTCCTGCTGGGTGACCTCCACTCCCCCCACGCCTTACTACTCCTTGGGCAGATCCTGACTAGTTTGCCCCCCACTCCCCACATAGTGCCCTCATTTAGATTCTCTTCTGACATCAAAGACCATAGCAATGTGACAAATCTGACTCAGCCACTCCCTCCCACCGTTTCTGTGGTAAGCAGGGTTCCCAGAGCTAGGAGGGGCTATAGACCAGAGGGCAAACTAGGGGCCCCTTCCTGCACCTCCCCGTGCAATTGATTCCCACGTGCTATTACTCCACCCCTTGGGACTAGCAAGATGGATCTATAAGGCCTCCTGCCTTGAAGCCTCTGATGACCTGAGTTTGGTCCCCATGGACCCTCATGGTGGAAAGAGAGAACACATTGTCCCCTGACCTCCAGATGTGGTCCCCCAATAAAAGGTTTTTTTTAATTAAATTGCCCCTTCTCGTAAGTGTTGACAGAGTGCTAGGGGCTGGGAATCTCGGGGATGAGGCAAGCTAAGCCCCTTCAAGTTGACCTTGGATCCAAGGATCCAGGGACAGAGGAGTGAAGGGACAGAGGCTCCAGCAGGGACCGGAAGGCTAGGAGCCTCTACTCCATCTAAGCCCGTTCTCCTCTGAGTACTCAGACTAGGGCAGAGCCAGGCAGGAGGGTGGAGACTGCTGAGAGGCTGACAATAGGGCAGGTCACAGAGGCTGCTAGACAGGAGGCATCCAGCTTCTGCTGCAGTATTACCAGCCCTGCGGTCTCACGGCTGGGAGAGATGGGGGCACAGCTGGGCTGAAAAGCAGTCTCCCCAGCTGCCCAAGACCCAGGACACACAGGGCCCCCAAGACCCATTAGAACAGGCACCCTAGAGCATGTAAGCAGGCATCTCAAGAAGCAGACATCCTTATCTACCAGTATCTGCCCCCCCCCCATTCCTGCCTCCACTTCCTATAGGAGAAGGGCATCAATTCTTGTTGGGATCAGACCACAGGTAGGGTAAAGTGGCCAAGGGGTACAGTCTGCTCCATCACCAGATACCTGCAAATGAAAGCTCGCTCTGGTGGCTTCCCTGGCTACCTTTTAAACTCTCCTCCTATTTCTCCCCCGGGTCTCAGCAAGACTGTTCTCATAGCTTCGGAAGATAACTAAGCTAGCCTGTCCACATCATAGGGTCCTCCTCTTTTGAAATTCTCCGTTTCCCTAGGCCCCTTGCCATGCTGGTCCCAGCCTGGAATAATCCTGGTCTCCTCCCTTCCAGATAAGGAGATCTCAGAGCAAGGGGGGCTGTGGGAAAGAGTCTCTTAGGTGGGAAGAGCCAGGAACAAGGGGAGCGCATGTGGGTGGGTGGGGGTGTCAAGCATGGAAGGGAGTGGACGTGAAAACTCCCCCCCCAGACACCCCACTGGAGGAGAAGATGGCCTGAGAACAGGAATTCCTTTTCCCTCCCTCTCCAGTTTGCATTCCCTCTCTCAGCATCACAGCAGCTGATTTCTTCACCTGACACCCTGACAGCACCACCTGGCCAGCACGTGCCAGCCTCAGATCTGGAGGGCACCGTGAGTCCTGCAGGAGTACCCATGAAGAAGATGCCTGCGGCCAGGGCATGCTCTCTCTGCTCCCAGGATTTGCTGGGCCCCTCCTCCCGTCTCCCCCACGCAGCTGCAAACAAGCAAGTAGGCATTCTTGTAGAGGTGGACCAGAGTATAGGCTGGACTCATCTCAGGGAAAGATGCCAGGCAGCGGCACTACCAAACAGGGAGAGGAGGAAGAGGGGAGCAACCCTAGGCTCAGTCTCTATCTCTTAAGCGATCTGTTCAGGGACCCTCTCAAGATGCCAGAGGCCCAAGCCAGCCACCCCCACAGCCTGGGGCTTGAAACTGAAAACTTTTCAGTGTACCCCTTCATCCCTTCCCATTAGAAGCAGAGATGCGTGGGGCGGTGCCCTCAGAGACACTCCTACAGTTGGTTCTGGACGCTTACGCTCACTCGAACAACAGCAGTGAGAGGGAACTCCCAGCTTTTTCCACAGCTAATTATAGACGTCAAAGTCTGAGGATGTTTTGTAAGCCGCAGAGAGAAACTGCTGAGGTTTCTATGCAAAGCCAAAGAAATTTAATTTGTGCACTCCTGGTTCTCACCGTCCAACTTCTCACAGCCTATCTCCACCTTATGCCCCCAGTGAGCCCCCTCCTTGGCGCTAAGGCCTTCCTTCCCGCTGAAGATTTATTTGGTTCTATTTTTCCCATCTCTCTTTGGGGCTTTCGAGAAAGGGAACAGACGCGGAAAATATTTTTTTCCGCAACAGTTTTCCATTCTGCGGCTGGTTCCCAAGCCGAGGGGGAGGGGGAGAGCAGGAGCGGATGGGGGTCGGCTGGAATAAATACTCGTTCCGAGAGCTTAATTTGGGTGAGAAAAAAAGCAGTCCCTCCATTTCCCCACCCATCCCATGATCCAGAGGAAAACGCAAAGAGATCACTTGTTTGATTAGATGATTCTTCAGAACCCAGGGAAAAATATAGTGTTGAAGAAAATCTCATTTTCTCCCCCCCCCCACCTCTCCTATTCCACTACCCCACCCTCCCAGAATTTGCCAGCATCAGGAAATTCGGATACTTTGAGAAGCCATTGAGAGGAAAGAAAGAAACAAAGTTTGCAAATCCCAGCGTCAATTCATTCTCTGCAAACCTACCTCTCTTGTTAGCAAAGATTCAGGTGCCTCCAAGCGGGACTCTCCCTCCGCGTTTCCATGGACCGAGTAGGGTGGGGTGACCACCCACCGCTCTCCCCAGTGTGGAAAACCACCTAGTGATGCTGGCTTTGCGCTCTGGCCTTTGAGCAACAGCTGGGGGAGTGGGCTGGGTCTTCTTCCCCAGCCCTTCCACGAGAAGGACCTTCCTGGAAGAAAATGGGTGCAGGGAGCTGGGCGGGTGTCTGACCTCGCCGTCTTCGGAGGGATGGTCCCCCAGGAAGTTCGTGCCCCCACCCTATCCCCAGCCTAGGACGGTCTCAACAGCAGAGCTGTCTTAAGAAAATGCTTGTCATGGCAACAGCTCCAGCCAACTCCGGCCAGACTGGGACTCCCCAGCTCTCCCCCAGCAGAGCGGGAGGAGAAAGGGGCGGAGCGCGAGCCGGCGGGGGTGGGGCTTGGCGGGAGGCCAAAGCATTGCTCAGCTCTTAAGGTGGCCCGAGTGCAGAGCGCGGCGGGATGATGCTTCTTGGTCGGTCTTAAGGCGGAATGGGGAAGGGTAGGAGGAATCCTCTGCCCTCTTGACTTTCTCCCAGCGCTGGTTCTTACTTGTTGAAAGAGGAGCAGAGCAGGCATGGGTGTGGGTGGAGGTGGGAATGGATGTGGGCAGCGGTCTTCAACCGTTGCTGTGGAGGGGAAATAAAGGAAGTGTCTGCAAGTCATTTTGCTTCCTGCAGCTCCTCCAAGCCTCTCATTCTCATACTGATTTAGTCTCTGGACCAAGAAACCTCAGGAGACTGTGGGAGCCTGCCCTACTGACCCAGTATGAACTAGGAGTTCACTGTCAAAGACGAATCGGTTGCTCAGGGTACCCATATACATATGTGCCTCCTGACCCTTCAGATACAGGTCACATCTTGCCCTCTCACTTGCTTGTGTACTCAACCAAAGGCATGTCCACAGGGCACAGAATGGCTGCTTGCCTGTGTGTGGCTGTACACCCAAACCTTTGCATCTACAATATGGTTTCTAGCCATCGTGGCAGTCTCAAAAGGTACTCATTACTGTTCTCGGTTCATGATTGAGGAAATTAAAGATTGAGTGACTTGCTCAAGGTTAAACATCTGGTTAATGACAGTCAGGATCCAGGGGCAAGTCAGATCAGACCCATTCCAGAGACGATGTGCTTTTCTATGCCTGCATGCTACTATGCCACACATTTCCATCCTAGCGAGTACACACTGAGACATCCATACACACGTAGACACAGCCTATAAGCTGTTAATCACGCCCCCGTGCCGCACACCCACCAGCATTGTGCAACAGTGCCACCCATAGCTTTTGCATGGAACCTTATGGCTTTCAAGTACAAACATGCACCATCAGCTGGCTCACACAACATGTCTTCATTGACGGATTACATTCCCACACCTACCTCAGCAGGCATACTTGCTCATGTTTACATGCTTATGAAAGGCAGCCTAACGCAACCTCACAGGTTATAGAGCACTGACTGTATACTGGGAAGAAGAGGATTATCAGGGTTCCCCCAACCTATTAATAGAGCTTCAAAATGCTCCCATACCTAACCAGGCATGGTGGAGTACACCTGTTATCCTAGCAAACAGAAGGCTGAGACAGAAGGACTATCAGGAGTTTGAAGCCAGCCTGGGCTACACAGTGAGAGCCAGGCCAGCTATAACTACACAGGAAGCAAGAGCCCATCTTAAACAAATAAGCAAAGATTTGTGTGCAAGAAGAAACAAGTCTAGAAGAAGACTAAGAGCACTTCCCAACTTCCTACCACTTGGTCCTTTCTTTTTTACTTCCTAGTCTCATTGATTTCTTTTTGTTTGTTTTGTGTTTGGAGACAGTCTCATGAATTTCAGGCTGGCCTCAAACTCACGATGTAACTGAAGGTGGCCTTGATCCTCCTCCACTGCCTAAGTGCTGGGATCATACTCATGTATGACCACTCCTAACATATTCTACTATTTTTCAACAACTCGTCTACATCCTATTTAAGAACTAGGGAGAAGTTTAACAGCAAAAGTACAGGGGTCATTTAGCGCAGTTGGGCTCAGAACCCCGGAGTTTCCTCTTTGTAGAAGAGATTACCTGTCACCTGTCTAAGGTGGGGAAAAGATCCATGATCAGCCCCTGCCCTGTCCATGTCTTTCCTCCTGAGGCCCACCCAGCTGCGAGGTAAGGAGAGAATCTAGAAGCATCCTCTGCTGAAAGAAACCAAGGAGTATGCCCTCAACAGTAGCTCTTCCTGGGATTTTAGCTCTCACACTGGGGGCACTTAGAAGACACCAAAGATGGTATCACTTTCATATGTCCCCACACCTCCAACTCCTCTGGTCTCTCTCCTCTCCCTAGGCATTTCACTGAAAGACAGAAGGTACCTTATTAGGTGTGGTAGGTCCTACCAAAATGTCAGCTTCAGGGGCACACATTGGTTGTTGGGAAAGGAAAGGAGAGGAGTCAGCTGGACAGAGCCTGATTTAAGAGCTTGTCAGGCTCCACGCTGGATGACAACAGTTTGACATTCCAGTGCCCAAGTGAGTGACAGCTGCATCTTTATCATGGCTCCTTAAATGTATGAAAGTATATTTTCAGCTTTCAGCGTTGCCTAACTGTTGAGTAGACTTGTCTTGGAGGAATAACAACGTAGACCTAGGTGTGGTCTTAGGAAAGGAGAAGTGTGCTTTGGCTGTCTGGCCTCCATGGGCTACGGATGATGCCTGGTCATAGCTTGCTAGTAGGTGGAAAGCAAGATCCTCTCCTAGAGCTCTCTGGGCTATAGGAAGATAGGCTGTGGGCATGGCAGAAGGGGGGTTTCCAGGGAAAGCGGCTCTGCTGTCCCCAGCCGGGGCTGGAGGGCCAGGATACTGGTGCCTGCAGGGGCTGTAGGTCCTTCTCTTGAAGCAGTGCTCTCTCTTAGCTGGGCTTGTGAGCTGAGAGAAAAGGGCACCCCTTTCCCCTTTCTACTTCTTTTCCAGGTGATTTTAGAGGAAGCTTCAGCCTGAAGTCTGTAGCTGACCCAGCCACTGCAGCCTGTGTTTTCTAGAAACCTAGAAGCCTTGGTGTCTTGTTTCTTCCAGCTGCAGGTTTGAGGTCTAGAATGGGTAAAAATAAATCTATCCATAAAAATAACCACTAGATGTGGGAAAGTAGAGCTGCCTCTCTGGGGCAAGGGGTGGAGCACGGCCCTCAGTGTTCATAGTCAGGCTGTCCACATCCCTCAGCTGAAGAGAATGCAGCTAATGATCTCACCCTTGGTGTTTCTCAGAACTCCGAGTCTTGGGAGCTCTGTCTTGCATTCCCCAGGCCCCTCATCATTCCTCTGCATCTCTCCAGTGCAGACTGTACCGCTCCTATTTGGATATCTACCGTAGCCATCTTCCCTACACCCAGATCCAGGGTTCTTCTTAAAAAGAAAATCTCCACAATTCAGTATTTACTTCTTTGTGCCTCTCTGTGTGTGTAAGAGAGAGAATTGTATGTGCACAGGTATGCAGGGGTATATACCTGTGTATACAGGCAGAGGCCAAAGGAGGGTGTCTGGTATCTTCATTCATTCTCTGCCTAACTCCTCCAAGGCAGGTCTCTCCCTAAACCTAGCATTCACATCTTTTGGCTAGACTAGCAGCTGGCAAGCTTTTGTGGGCCCATCTCCATAATCCCAGCACTGGGGTTACAGGGCAATGGTAGACTACATCTGACATGTTACATGGGTGCTGGGATGGGAACTCAGGGACTCATGGTTACACAGTAAGTACTCTTAACCACTGAGTCATCTCTCCAGCCATCAAGGCTGCTTCAAGATGCTTTCTTCTTAAGATAAGAACTATCATTTCACTAGTGTCCCTGCCCCTCAGGATCCACGCGTAGCCAATTACATTCTTCCCTGAGATTTAAAAAAGTTTTTAAGATTTATTTATTATGTATACAGTGTTTGCCTACATGTATGCTTGCAGGGCAGAAGAGGGTACTTTCCTTACAGATGGTTGTGAGCCACCATATAGTTGCTGGGAATTGAATTCAGGATCTTTGGAAGAGCAGGTAGTGTTCTTAACCACTGAGGCATCTCTCCAGCCCTTAAAATTCTTTTTAAAATCGCATTTATTTGTGTGTGGGGGCCACATGTGTGCCACAGAGCATGTGTGGAGGTCAGAGGACAACTTATAAGAATCTATTGTCTTTTTCCATCATGTGGGACTCAGGAATGAATTCAGGTGGTAGGCTTGGCAATAAAAGCCCTTACCCACAGTGCCATTTTGCTGTGTCTCTTCACCGAGATGTTTGAATGTAAAATCAAAAGAGAGAGAACAAGGCTCAATTCATAGTGAGTCAGGAGACTCTGGAAGTGTCAGCAGCCTTGCTCCCTGTCATGTGGAAGAAGCTCACCAGTAGGAAGAGAAATGGTCACACGCAAAGAGAGGCAGAGAAGGAAGCTGAAGAGGGCTGGCCTTATCACAGCTCTCAGAAACCAGAGGCACAGCTGGGTGGTAGTGGTGCATGCCCTTGATCCCAGCACCCGGGGCAGGGTGGGGGTGGGAGGAAAAGGCAGGTGGATCTTTGGGTTCCAGGCAAGACTGGTTTATGGAGTTCCAGGACAGTCAGGGGCCACACAGAGAAACCCTGTGTCATTAAAAAAAAATCAGAGGCAGGAGGATCATTAGTTCAAGGCTAGCCTAGACTACATGACAAATTTAAAGTCAACCAGAACCATGGAAACCTCATCTCAAACATATACAAAACCAAACCTAACAACACACACACACACACACACATACACACACACACACACACACACACACACACACACACAAAGAGATCTGAGCCTACTGAGTGAGAGATATCTCCTGCACTATCACACCCTTCCTTTCCGACAGATAAGTTCCACCACTTACTGTCCAAGCACAGCTATGTGAAACTGAGGTGTTTAGTCATTTGTACTAATATAGAAACCCCCTGAGGTGGCTCTCCCTTCTGATGCACTTATTCATCACATGTATCCCTTCAGAATTACTGAATACCTGCAGCCCAATGCAGTGTGCATACGTTGAATGCTTTCTGTTTCCCCATCTACTGGGCCCGGAGGCAACAGGGGTAGGGAAGATGTGCTAGTACCGTGAATAGTTACAGCAGAGGATGCTGTGGTTGTTCTTTCAAATGCATTTGCTGAGTGTGCATTGTGTGTTGGGTAGTTCATGAAAATACTTGCTTGGAAATTCCAAGGAATAATTTGCTTTTGGTGGGAATACTAGATAGGTACAGGCGTGGAGACTGTTTGGAAGTATACAAAAAACCTTTAGGCGGTTTGGGATAGGATCAGGATGAGGCGGGGCAGTCAAGGTGGCCAGGAACACAGGGTCGAAAGTAGAAAGAAT